GGACAATAATATAACATAGCACTTGGTATTGGGTGGAACAAGTGACTGGGTGTCAGGGAGCCTAGGCTCTCTTCCTACCCTGCCATTAACTTACATTACTCTGGGAAAGAGACACGCTTTTCCTGGCCTCATTTTCTGTAACTTTAATACTCCAGTACCTTGCCTCAGCACTTAAAAAGGTGTTTGCAAAAATAAAATGTTTTGCTTTATACGGTGGGAAGTTTCTTCCTAATGCATTATATGTGGCCTCTCAAGCATGTTCATTCCATGAACTCAAATGTCAGCCTAATATCTGTAAAGAAGTTTTGATTCATTGATGAAAGGCACTGCAAAAATACAGATTGGTTTGAATGTTAATTATAAATGTACAAGCGACAAATGTGCAAAGCTGTATTTATCAGAAGATTGGCTTTGAAACAAGTTTTCCTCAAAATCACCTGGCATGCTGCCTCAATTCACAATGCAGGGTTCCCAAATCATAACATGGCACACTAAGGAATTAACCTTCGATCTTTGTCAATTATCAATGTATTATTTAATCATGCAATTGATATAAATTGCCTGTGAATAAATTTAGGCTAGAAGTTAGAAACTGGAAGTTAGAAGATGATGTCTAGGGATCTGGGTTTTCTGTTTCCCATGGAAAAATGTTGATTTGCTCCTTTAAGGGAGAAAAATCACAGATTTGCTCCTTTAAAGGAGAAAAATGTGGGAAACTGTGGGTGTCCCCTTGCAGGCTGGTAGAATTCCAGGCTGCTTGGGGTAGGGAGGAGTAGGAGGAGGGCAACAGAGGCAGGGGCACTATGTGCATGGACATGCACACAGATGCACGTGGCCAGCAATTACAGCTAAGCAGTGTGGTGGGAGAGCAGCTCCCGGAGCTCCCTGCAGGTAAGTTTATGGGGGAACAGGGCTTAGGTGATAAATGGGGGGGAGGGGGGGCAGGGAGCCTTAGGTGACATATGGAGGGGCAGTGTGCGACACAACTTGTGGGAAGACTGAGGTGATGGTAGCAGCTCCCACCAAACCCACTTGGCAAGGGAGGGAGTGCAGCAGGGATGGTGGCTGGGGGTGCTGCCCAGCCAGAGTAGTGTGTGGTGTCCAGGGTCAGGGCTGGAGCAGGTGGGAATGTGCAGCTGCAGGGCCCAGCCAGGGACTGGGATGTAGCCAAGGGCAGTTCATCAGGGGCGGGTGTGGGAAGAAAGGAGCTCCCCACTGCTGTGTACATTCACTGGGAGGGGTTGGGCCCATAGGTGATGCGTCAGGGAGGCATAAGGGGGCATGTGCCCCCCACAGATATCTGTCCCTACAGCAGGGCACAGAGCTGCAGCCTGGCTGGACCGGCACTGGGCAGCAGCTGCCTTTGCAGCTCAGCCAGTGGTACCTGGTGCAGGAGGGCAGTGTGGGGAGGAGAGGTTCAGTGCGGCTGCTGCTGCCAGAAGCAGAGTTGTGCCCCTGCACTGCAGCAGTGGGTAGTGGGTGCCTCACCTTAGCAGCCATGGTGACACAGCACTCCCAGCAGTGGCAGCAGCCTCCCACCCCACCTTTCTGTGCCAGGTCCTGCTGAGCCACAGAGGCAGCTCTTGCTCAGTTCCAGTCCAGGCAGGCGGCAGCCCTGTGCTCGGTACAGAAATCTGGGGGGCATGAGCCCCCCCCGGTCCCACAACCTGTTGCCTATGTCCACACACGCCCTGCCCCACACACTGGGGAGCTGGGGCACCAGCAGAGTTGAGGGAAGGGGGGCTGTGGGTTGGGAGTGAGGGGCAATGGTATGGGCACGGGCAGGACACTGGCATACCAGGGCTGCTCAGCACCACAAAGCAGTGGAGGGGACAGCTGCAGCTGGACCTGTGTCCTGGTGAGCAAAGGGGGCAGGGGGAGCTCTGCTTTTCCACGATAGAAAACAAAATCAAACGCCAAAATATATAGGTATTTCGAATTTATTTTACTTTAATGATTGAGGCACTGGTAGGCCTCCAAACTGCTTTAAAATTGTAAATATCAATAAAACATTGTGTTCAGCTGACACCTATATCTATATAGTGGCACTTCATTTTCAACATGGAAGACCACAAATCTTACTGTTTTTTTAATCAGAGAATTTTGGATTTTTTAAACAAAGAAAACCAGGATCCCTGATGATGTCTAACCACAGCATTTTGAAGCAATCTTCCAGCTGCAGTAGTGAGGGGAAAACACCTAACTTTTAAATGGAATTCAATAGTTTGTGACAGGGATTATATAATATGGGGCCTGCCATGGCAGCGAACTTGACCTGATTAGGTAGGAAGCCCCTTTTTGTCCTGTGTTCTTATGAATCTAACTCTAAAATGACAAAAATATTCAGCTAGCTGAAGCTTTCCATTATCTGTACAAGAGTGTTTTCTCTCTGACAGTTCAACACATGGAACAGCAGTAATTCAAAAGAGATTTCCTTCTTTGTTGTCTTTGTACACAGGTCATTGTGGCACTATCACAAGATCACAGTACAACTCAAACCCCAAGCTAGGGAGGCCATGATCTAGCAGCCTGGGAACCAGACTTAAAGCGAGGAACTCCTTTAACTTAAACCCAAAGTTTTCTGGTTAGACAGTCTTGCTCCTGTGCTCAGGATAAGACCAATTGCCATATCTGGGGTCTGGAAATAATTTTACTCCATGGTCAGATTAGTACAGACTGCTGGGGTTTTTGCCTTCCTCTGTAGTGGGCATGTGGCCCTCTTCCTGGGATCTCTCAAGTATATATTAACAATCTTTACAGCAGCAGGGTGATAGATGCCATGGTCCCCCCACATATTTGTGGCAGGTTAGGGTGTAATGTTTTGGGTTTTGTGTCAGGGTTGACTGTAGTTTTACTAAAAGGAGAGACCATGGATTTGACCATGGATGCTTTGAACAGACAGGGGGTTGGACTAGATGACCTCTGAAGGTCATTTCCAGCCCACTTTTCTATGATTCTATGAATTTATGCTATTACAATACCACCTTGAAGGCCCACTCAGGATTGGGACACTGAATGATCCAGGCTATGAAAGCTTCCTGCCCCAAAGAATTTATACTCTTACCTAGACAAGACACATGTGGCTGCAACAAGTCAGGGATGGAAGACAGAGAAAAGTATAATAAAAATATATGCTTACACAGCCTGGCTCCATGCGCACCTAGGTCTTCTCAGAGAGCACTTAAATATCAGTAGTCATCTGCATCCACCCAGACCCTGCCCATGTCCTATCTATTGCCTGAAAATTTCCTGGAGGTATCAATGGAAGTGGGTCTTGTAGAGGAATCAGGAGGAAAATAATGCAGTGCCTTTAGTGACGCTGGGCATGTCTACACAAGACGTTTTACTGCACAATGGATTAATCTACTGTACAGGAAAGCATCACTGTCTACATGTGCAGGACATTTACTGAGCAGTAAAGCAGAGTACCGTGCAGTTAGCTAGTACCTATAAATACAGGTATTAGATTACTGCACAGTAGTTACTGCACAGTAATGCTCATGTAGATGCTAACTGGGAGCAAATTTGCTCCCAGTCAGCCTAGGCAGCAGGGGGCCATGGGAGACAGGGAGCCATCTGTCCCCAAACCTGGTGCTGCTCAGTTCCTGGCTCTCCTCAGGAGCTGATCAGTGCTGGAACTGAGGAGCTCTCTGCCTCCTGTACCAGCTGCCAGCATGAAGCTGGCTGCTTCAGACGATGGGCAGAGACTGGTAATCCAGTCCCCCACCTACGCCCCCAGAGCAGCTCTGCGTGTCCCCTGCCTGCCCAGCCCCTGTGGTTCACAGCCCCTGCCCACCCCCAGAGCAGCCAGATCCATGCTGCGCAGAACTGCTCCGGGGGTAGCCAGGCTGGGAACCCAAGCAGGGCAGCTGCCAGCAAGCCCAGTACACCCCACCTGGCAGGAGGCTTACCAGCAGCTGCCCCACACCTGAAACAGCTCCCAGTGAACCTCCTGCTGGGTCAGGAAGCCCCATCTGGCAGAGGGCTTTATTGTGCAGTAAGCCTAATGCAAATTAATAGCATGTGTAAACATGCGCACTGGGGAAGAAGTTCCTATGTCAGAAAGTAAGTACAACAGTGATATAGCAAGAAGCAGACAAACGGGTGAGAGAAGCAGCATTGGTGGTGGAACCACAGAGGGAGGAATAACATATCAAAATGGAGGGCAAGGAATGGGTTGGGTTGTGAAGAGCCTTAGAGGTTAAGGATTACAGTGAGCATCTGACATAGCAGAGAAGGGGAAGGTGGAAGACACTAACTACTGCAAAAATGTGAGTCCCGTTTATCTATCTAGATACTCCTAAGGCCCTCATTATGGTGGTACCTGAGAACTGCACCCCACTTAATGGATTTTATCTTTATAACATCCCTGAAAGGCAGGGAAGAACTGTTATCCCTATTGTACAGAGGGTGAACAGGAATGTAGGGAAGATTTTAAATGGCTTGCCCACAGTGGTACAGGAAATCAGTGGCCAGATAACGATTGGGCTTCCAAAGTCCTGGATTCATTTTCACTACACCATTTTGTTTCTGCTCCAGAATGAGAAGCCAGGAAAGCGATCCTAACAGTGTTTGCAACAGACCTGAGAGGAACAGACTAGTTCTCTGGAAGGTCAGAGAAGGAGGGTGATAAAGCCAAGATAAGAAAAGATGATGGCCTCACAGTTTTAACACTGTGATGAGAGGGGAAAAATTGACTCTTGGAGGCATAATAAGGAAAGCCCCACTCTAGATTTTTGTTCTAGAGAAACTAGGCTCCAAAATTCAGTAACAAATTAAAAAAATATAATTAAGGAAAACCCCACCTTTTGTGCACAGCCTTTTGTGCCAAATTAATGAGGTGTTTTAATTTAAAATGCATCTGTATTATGGTCCATAAGGCAGTGTCTTAAGATCTGAATGTAATGGAAAGACAACATTTTGACATATCAAATAAAGGGCATGTGTGTGATGGATCAGAACACTCCATTTTAATCGACTGAGCCTTTCCCATCACTTACCCTTAGCCTATCTTTGGGCAATGCGACAGCTCCTTGTTTGATGATTTCCAGAACTCGCTCCACTGACAACTCAGCTCCAGCTTGCTCTAACCGGGAGCTGAAAAAGCTGATCACCTGGAATGGAAAGCGATAGTGCATAAACCAAAGAGGCAATTTGACCAATTTTAACAAGAACCTACTGCATTCTCTCCTTTACACAGCCTAAGTTTAAACTATAGTTTTCAAAAACATTCATGTCATTACTTCTGCTGCAATCAAGAAACAATCTCAATTAGGACAAGTTAATAAACATTATCAATAAACTTCAACTGGCATTTTGGGCAGGTGATTAATTCAGTTTGTCTAGTAAACAATGTTCAATCAACAGATTTAAGATTTCTAGCACCCACCCAATCAGCATATCTTAAAGTAAAATTTTCTGAAAATTCAGAAACTTGGATTACATCCAGCTAATTTTTTCTGCCAAACCCTGTAAGAAGACAGCAGCCTAATATTTGATGGAAGTGGGTTTAAAATGGGTAAGTGCCTTTTGCAACAGATTCCTGACTTTTTAGGACTTACAGGAGATAACACAACTTCAAATGTTAGAAAAGGCACATAGGAACAACACAGGAAACAATCTTACCTTGGGGTAAGCGGATGAACTAGAGCAGCGGGGGTCTAGATTTTTGCCACAAATTAGCTCCACACTCTTCCCAAGTGTCACTCCCACCCTCTTCACCTGCCATATCATACCCTCTGCTTTCTGTTCCCTGCCTCCATACAATTTGCTGCTCTGCTTTCTCCCTGCTCTGGGCAGCTGTAGCAGGCAGCCGGGAGACTACAAACAGCTGTGCTAGGCTCCACAGCCCCAGCACCAGCTCCATGGCAGTTGTGCATGTGCACAACCCCGGACTAGAAGAACCACAGGGTTTTTCATTTCAGTTGGAACATTTGTACATTGACTTTAAAAGGCCAGGATGGCATCTAATCTAACTTCCAATACGGGCTATACCATTTTCTCCAGGGATTTCTGCATTTAGCTCAATGACAGGTGGCTAACAGAAGGCATCTCTTATAGAAAGGCTAGATGTGGTCCCATCCCAGTCTGGTCCAAGTGCTTACAGGTTTACAAGAGGGGAAAGAGGCAACCAACTGCGAAACTAGCTTGGCAAGTGAGCTCACACTCAGTGCCTGCTTGTGATTTTACTGCTATCGATAAATTAGGAAATGTGCACCCTCCCGTCTCATACACAGCATACAGAGACGCGACAATGCACTGCTGTCACAGGATACAGGTAGAAGCAGTTGCAATGCAACTCTAACGACTGCACGATTCTGCAGTTGTTACAAGAGCAACGAAACTGCTCCAACTTTAACCCTGTTTCATTTAGGGTCAAAGTCAGGGTAATTCAGCTCACATCCCTCACTACAGGCCCGTGCGGAGGTAACAGCATGCTACAGCTCCCCTCCCCTTTCAAAGCTGCAGGCAACAGGCAACAGGATGGCTGTGCTGCCAACCCCCAGTATCATGAGGCAACTCCAAAGGCAGGAGATTCTTTTCTTTAAACAAATGCATTTGGGTTTCTCTTCGTGTGCCTCCGGATGTGGAGCCCTGGGGATTTACTTATCAAATCTTTCTCTGTAACCATGAGGGTAGAAATGCACTTTTCTTTTAAACCATGGAAACAGATCTTCATGGAATTATGTGACTATAGGAACCGAGGCTTTAAGAAAGCACAAAATACTGTGGTAAAACTGCAAGAGCTGGTAACCCTGGGCAGAGGCCAATGCAGGCATCCAAAATGCTGGTGATGGAAAGCTACTCTCTCTCACCCCAGGTTCTTTGGGCATCGCCCCCCATCGTAGACTCCAGGACCTCAGGTCCGAGTGCCCCATTGGTCCCTCTCTGTTATACTTCCCCAAGGCTCTGCCTCCACATACACCACACTAGCCAGGCCAGGCTGGGTCCCATCATGTTTCACTGCCCCATCAGGTACTAGTTCAGGGCTCTGCCCTGCCCCATTTATCTTTCAGTCCAGTAGGTCCCAGAAGACACAGAGAGTTTTGCCCCAAGTGCCCAGCTGGTACACCACTGATCCAGACAATTCCACATGTCTATACTTCCTTTCATGACAAGGGCACCTAAAGCACTTTGCAAACTATATTGCTTGATGTAGAGAAGATGGCAGGAGCATGCAGACTAATGGAGCACAGCTCAGTGCAGAGGGAAGTCCTGGAGCCTACGTGCTGTCCTGTGAAAATTGCCATGGGAACCTCAGAGTCCGATTCCCAGAGCACACACCACAGGTCTGCTTGCATGAGTGAGCAATTCAAATATCCCCTCACTGTACGCGCTCCTGGTCTGCGTGCATACAACCCAGGCAAGGGGAACTGTGTGTGTCCAGCTCTGAAGGGCACCAATGTCCATTTGTATCTGAATCATTAAAACTCAAGCCCATTGAAGTAACCTTCATTAATCCAATAGAAGTGGGAGCTGGGGGGTGGAAGGGAGGAGTATACTGTATTATAAAATCTCAGTTGAGCTGCCTTTGTTCTGCAGAGTGAGACACACAGCTGGAGCCAGGAACCATTAACCTAATTATGCCTCACAACTTGGCTGCTGTTAGTAAAACAAAGACAGCTGATGACTTGATTACTTTGGGATTCAAATCAGTCACTCCTTTATCCCCAAACCTGGTATCTCTGCCTCCCGTAGAACATGAAGATTTGTCAGATTTACAAGGCAAACTCTGGGGTGGGAACCGTGCCATATAGAACAATCCAAACATGAAAACATTACCGCTGTCAGCAGCGTCTCCTTTCCAAGACATTTCATGCAACAGTTTAAAAACAAATAAAGTCAAAACACCCCATGCAATCTGAAAACAGAGCCATTGTATAGATCCAGTGGCCAAGCCCATTCCTTGCTGCCTAACCAAGGATGCATAGAGGGGAGTCTCTTGCATGTGCAAGAGGGGCTCAGCTTCCACTGACTGCGATCTCTCCTCCCATGTACAGACTATCCAGAAGCCTCCCAACAAAGTCTGGGGCTGTACTAGAGTGCAGAAGACTGGGCAGGACAGAAAGGAGGGAGAGAGGAATTCCCTTTGGTTCCATGGAAGTGAGTCTGAAGACGATTCTGCATCAGCTGATACACAGCCGTCACCAGGAGCCCAGGTACAGCTGAATCCCGAAGGAACTGTACTGACAGACAAGTGCCCCTGTCCTAATGCCTGTCTCAGGAAACCCACCACGCTTGGAGGTAAGCCCTGTGGTCTTGGTGGCGAGGACAAACCCTAAATGTTATGATGTGACATGATCTTCTTTCAGTGGAATAAAGGAGGAGGAAGAAGGAAATTTGACTGCTTTAGCTAAGTCACTATTAAGAGAAACTAGGAACAAGTTGAGGAGGGCCAGGGGAAGATGGACCAACTGAAGAAGAAGCCAGGCAAACTGGCTTGGCAACTTGGAGACTAAAATGAGAAGCTGGTAGAGGACAGGCAGGCCTGGCAAAGGGGCCTGCACGTGCCCAAAGAGAACACACTGTTCTCAGATCCTAGTTGTCAGCAAGCCCTTGATTCGAGGATGATCTCTATCACAGTTCACTGATGGGTCTTCAAGTGGCTTGAGAATCCAGTCCTTGAGTCACATATCTGCCCACAGAAGTTGCCGACCTCTCCACAGGAGAGAGCAGGCTGTAGACGGGATCCCTCTCCTTTTCCTTCCTCCGCTCTCTCTTCTCTGCTTCAAGGGAAAGATGCTTTACCTTGAAATGGGATGCCACTTGGTTGAGGTTCCAGTGCCACTGGAGTCAGTCAGCAGCCAGCTCCTCCCAACTCTTGATGTCAGCATCTGTTTTCTTGAGGTATGCCTTCAATATGTCCTTGTAGAGTTTTCCTCTGGCTACTGCAAAATCTCAGTCCATTACTAAGTTGGGAGCAGAGTATTTGGTTTGGGAGCTGAGAGTTAGACATCTGCACACAATGACTGGTCCAGCCAAGTTGGTGCTTGAGGAACACAGACTCAATGCTGATAACACTGGCTTTAGTGATGATGCTGGCATTTGTGTAGAGATCTTCCCATTTGATGTGGAGGATTTTCTGGAGGCATCATCGGTGATACTTCTCCAGGTTCTTGAGATGACAGTGGTAGGACACCCATGTTTCACATATGTACAGGGGAGTGGAGATGACAACTGCATTGTAGACCTAGATCTTGGTATCTTTCTGGAGAAGACAGTCAATACAGAGACACCAAAGCAATTTCCCAAAGGAGGCACTTGTGCATCAGATTCTGTGCTGGATCTTCTCAAAGTTCACTCTATGGGAGAGGTGGCTACTGAGGTAGGGGAAGTGCTTAACTACTCCCAGGGTCTTTCCCTTGACGGTCATTTGGGGAGGAATGGAATGTATAGTTCCTGAGTCTTGATGTTCACCTGAGGTCAGCTCTTATCCACAAAGCTCACCCCTGACTTGTGATGGTCCACAGAGGGGGATGACAACCTACTACTGCTGGCACCCACATGCTGAGCAATGAGAATAGTTGCTCATTCAGTGAGTGTAGTCCATCTTGTGTACAGAATGTGGAAAGAACAGCATGTCATAAGTCATTGCAGACTGTATCACAAGCTGTATATGTACAATGGACTGACCTAAGGCAACCTTAATTTCAGCATTTCTTAACTTTTGAATATTTGACCTCATGATCTCAATAATCTTTTAATGTATCCTATATATGTCTCTAATGTCTTTTCTAACCCCTTAGTGGTTACCTGGAGGATATTAAATTTAAAATGTTCAGAGAAGTGGGACTTGATGTCTCTTTAAGGTGTGGGGACCTCACCAGTAGAATATCTCCTGTGGTCAAAATGTGATTACATCTCTCTCCTCCCCTTTTAGGATAATTTTATTGAGAACACAAGTGAATAATATAAACCATTTCACTAGCAAACATTATAGGCCAGGACTAAAAATAGGCCATATGGGTAAAAGAAAAACATTTTAAAAGTTTACATGCATAAAGAACTGTAACAAAGTAATTTATACAAATGGTAAAACTTCAGTTAAAAAAAAGGAATGGAATGAAAAAAATGTGACACAAAACTGACTTTGAAACAGCTTTTTCTACCACTA